GGCCAGCGCTGCGCTCCGGGCGGATGCTGGCACCCGGGCTTCGCTGCTCTCTGGACGCCGCTCAACTTCTCTCCCAGGCGCAGGAGCTTGGAAGTCATTGGTCTCTCTCCGGTTGGATCGACTTATTTTGAGATTTGGGGCGTTGCGGTTTACGCAGGAACCTCTGTACCGCTCTCCCCCCTTCCTCCCTCTCTCTCTCTCAACCTTTTTGGATGCCTCTGTGCTGGCAGATTTAAAGACCCAAGTCTTGGCCGTGGAATATCTTGGATGGACTTGCAGGGGCTGGTGTTCTAAAGCCTGTCACCACAACCCTGTCCTTGTCTTTTTGTTGTTGTGAAAGTTCTTTTGTTTTAATTTTTTTTCCTTCCCCCATTAATAAATCACCAAACTGTTACCTAGCAGGCCGGTGCCCGCCGCTCCCAGGACCAGGTGGTGGTCTGCCAGAGCGGAGCTGTGTTTGAAGAGCAGCCTGCTCCACCCCTCTCCTCTCCAGCCCTGGAACGCCACCACACACTGGCATTTTGAAAAAAAAATTGCCTCCAGAAACTGAGCACCCCCACCCCCTTGCCAGCCTTCTCCTCCCCCCTTTTTAACTCCTTGAGGAATGGAGCTTTGCAGAGGTTGTATTTAGATTCAACAGTTCGGACCAGCGGGTCGCTGCTGCTGCTGCTGCTGCTGCTGCCTCTCCAAAGAGCTCGAAAGGCTCCCGGGAGGCGGCGGTCCCCGCGCCGGTCTGGATGCGGCTCTGAGTCTCCGCGTGTCTCTGCTTGTTGCTGGTGCAGGTGTTCGGCCGCGATCACCTTTGTGTGTCTTCTGTCTGTTTAAACTTCAGGATGGCTCGCTTCGGAGAGGCAGTGGTCGGCAGGCCGGGGTCTGGCGATGGAGACTCGGACCAGAGCAGGAACCGGCAAGGAACCCCGGTGCCTGCCGCCGGGCAGGCGGCCGCCTACAAGCAGTCGAAAGCGCAGAGGGCGCGGACTATGGCTTTATACAACCCCATTCCTGTCCGGCAGAACTGTTTCACCGTCAACAGATCCCTGTTCATCTTCGGAGAAGATAACATTGTCAGGAAATACGCCAAGAAGCTCATCGATTGGCCATATCCTTTCTTGCCCACCATAACTCCCCTCTCCCCCTTTGCGTTTCTTGGGTGAGAGGGGAAAGCAAGCGTGGAATCTGCCCCCCTATTTCCTTCCTGATGCCCATTTGCCCCTTTGCTGATGTGCACTCGTTACTTCGACACATCTAAGGGGCAAGCTTGGTGCCATAGAGACCAGTGTGGGCACTAGTGGTTTTCAAGGTAAGACTTTTGGGCTCTGATTTTTCCTGTGTGGCGGTTTCTAGCATCCCTGGGCGCAGGGGGTTGAGGTTTTGTGTGATTGCCAGTCCCCCCCCCCCTCATCCTTTCACATCGAAAGGGTTGCCCTAAACTCAGGGCTTCCTTTCATACCCTGTCCCCCTTTTCGTACCTCAGAGTCACCCCCATCCCCACCAGCTGGAGGGACACCTGCGTTATCTGCCCACAGGGGAGGTCCAGCTCAGCAACTTCAAGAGCTCTGGGCTAAGCCCCATATGGACCCATAGGTGAAATCAGACAGGCTTTGCCTGGGGACCCAGCTAACTCTGGGGGGAAGTTGCACTGAGAGTAAAGTGAAGGAGTACGTCAGGGGAGGCAGTCTCTAATGGCACAGCCCAAAGAGCTCAGCTGGAGTTCTCTTCTGAGCCAGGGAAGAGCAGCTCACCAGGGCCCCTGCTTTCCGTGGTCCTGAGCTGGGGACCCCACTGAGTGCTCTCCCAGCGCCCAGGATCCAGGTGGATCTGCTGGGCCTGAATTCATCCGCTGAAGGCTGCATCGGCGGAGCCCAGAGGTGTGCCCGCAATCGCTCTCCCCCTGGCTCCAAAGGAACTGCTCTCCACAGTGGGCTGGTGGGGCGGCTGATGGTGCAGGGCCGGGGTGAACGGCAAAGAAGGAGCGTCTTTGCAGGTTTAAGCAAGTGCACCAAATGCAGGCTGCTGATTAGGCATCTCACTGCCTTGTGCTTCACTAAGAATTTGGGCGTCCGTCTGGCAAGATCTTTAGGAATTGGGCGTTGGTGGGTGGTGCGGGGGATTAGTAGGAAGCCAGTCAGTGGGGTGGTGGTAATTATGGGGGTAGCTTGGAGACATGGGACTTGGATGCTTGTGGAGAGAGATTTCTTGGGAAGGATGCACCTGCAAAGGAGGCCCCGCCCTTTCCCCCTTCCCTCCCTCCTCCACACCCCCACCCTCCAGGTGTGCATCACAGACAGCTGGAGCCCTGCTGGGTCCCTAGTGTCAGCTAGGCACGCTGTCTCTCCCCTAAGGGCCTCTTCCTGCTCCCCCCACCCCCCGTCTCTAGTCTTCCCCTCCTTCCTCCCTAGTTCCTGCCTCAGCAGCACTGTGATTGGCTGGCGCATGGTACTTCCAGGCAGCACCCCTCATTAGAAATGAAGGAGCATCTCTAAGCAGATATTATTCCTGCCGCTGCACGCATCCTCCTACAGCCACCCGGGCTGGGCTGGGCTTCCTCTCTCCTCCTCCCTGTACTCCCCTCCCTCTTCCCCTCCCTCCCACGCAGAGTGATGGGGCCATTCGGTGCCCGAGTTAACCGTATCTAGGGTGGGGGGATTTGGGGAGGGAAAGGATCAGGTCTCTGCAGCCCCGCCTGCCAGTGCGCTGCACAAAGCAGACAGATCTCATTGTGTTGCATGCTGCGGCTGCAAACACTCCTCCAGTCAGGTCTCTGATTTCCCAACAGGGCCCCCTCTCCCTTCCGCCTTCAACAGTTCCCTAAAATTTCCTACCCACTAGGTGCTTCTTCAACGTGCACCTCTCTTAGGGGCGCGTTTACTCAGGTGCCCTCTGTTTCCTTGGGGTAGACAAAGCCACCCAGCTGAGGGTGGCAAAGTGCCCGCAGGCATTGTTGGCACCTCGGACAGCGCCATGGAAATCCGCAGGAGGCTGGGGCGCCACAGTCACCCAGGTTCAGCACCTGGGGCGCTTCCCAGGCTGGGATCTCCTGCACGTTTCCTACACCACGCGGTTGCTGCTGCTCACGTCTCCTCTTCCACCGCAAAGACACCGCCTATCTGCTAGGCTGAGAGCGCCAGGTGGAACTGCGGGTTTTACTCCTCCGTTTTCTCGTCTCTGGCCAGGTCGAGTGGCTAGGAGTCAGAGGGCAGCCAGAGAGCGGGTTTCAGCGTCATGCTCAGTGCCTTGGCTGAGAGCCTGTCCCAATGGTCTCTTCTAGCCTCATGGCTGGGAGTTTCCCAGTGGTTCTACAGCATGTAGGCGGTTGTAGCAGTGTTCAGACAACATCTGCTAAGGTGTGTAGAGGAGCCTGGTTGGCCAATTTAAAATACACCATGTTTGCTTTTTTTCTCCTGACTGTACAACGTAACTGACATACCTTCCCTCTGGTGGTGACCACGTGGGAACATTGTGCTTTAGCACGGTCTGCGCTCTCTCTATTACCACCTGCATCCAAGTTCCTAGTCTCACTTCCCTTCCTCTAGCAACACCCAGCTCCCAGCAATACCTTGCTTTTATCCAATGGGAGTTAGCATGAGCTTCAGTTACCAGTCAAGCTTTAGAGCCAGGCTGTCTGGGTTCTAGTCCCATTCCTTCAGCAGCTCTGTGACCTTGAAAAGTCACTTCATTACTTTGCGACTCGGTTTCCTTATTGGTAAAATGAGGAAGACGATCATGATTTACCCGAAGAACTCCATGAGTTAATATGTACCAAGTTCCTAGAATATTGCCCGATACCCACTAAACACTAGCTATTATTATTAGTGAAGTCCTTCAGACATTCCAGCATACCTTAAGGGAGGGGTCGTAGTTCCAGGTGAACTAAGTCTTCTAGATTTTTACTTCTCAAAGACAGCGAGGAGCAGCATTCCTATCACCTCTTGACAGACATTCAGAATCCCAAAGCCCCACTCGGATTTTCTAAACCATAATCTGCATTTGAATAAGGTCCCCAGGTGATTCGTATGCACATGAAAAGTTTGGGAAGGACTTCTCCGATCACTGTAAGGGGCGCATTTTGAGAAAAGGAAGGTTCAGAAGAGTGTCAAGACCTGCTTCCAACTGACACGTGCCCTTGCAGGATGCTTGAGGGTTTGGAAGACTTGGCGTGCTGTGCTTTTTGAGACTTAGACACCCTTCATAGGCTGGACTTGGAAGGTAATGTGCACCCTTATGTGCTGTTAGTAGTCTCTTAACACTGCATGTTACTGGTCTTTAATCAGATTGGGCTAGACAGATGAGTTAAATAAAAGGGATGATTTAATTTCTACTCGTAGGACTCTCTAACTTTCTGGGGGTAATGTTATCTGGTTCCTAATAGGCAAGGTCTAGTTCTTATGGGAGGAATTGCCTAAGATAGCCCAGATTTGGCATGAAAGATGGCGGCATGTCAACAGCCCACTCTGAATGTGTTTCATTTTTCTTGGAAGCGACATCTGCATCGGGAGATAATTTTATTTTCTCATGGCACTCTCTTCTGCTGTGGAGACCATAACCTTTTTGAAAATGCTAATCTGATTTCAAATGTGGTATTACATTTTATGCGATTCCTCCTTTTCTGTCTCACTCATCTAATAGATCTCACAAAAGGGTTCTCCTTTTCCTCAAGGAATTGGCTGCTCTGAATGTCATTCCACATTCTCTATAGCATGTGCCTACCAGCTCTAGCCCTTCTGTGCCCAGGCCCAGTTCCCCTGTGGACATCCAGGGTCTCCCTGATGGTCTGAGCTGTCTCACACTGATTTGCACTTTGCCAGGTGAGAGGTTGGAGGGAAGAGATGGATCTTCTCACTCAGAGACTCTGTGCCGTTGATGGGCAGGGGGAATTTTTATTTTATTTTTTATTTATTTTTTTACTGGTGGTGTGAGTCACTCAGCAGGAGAGCACATGTTTCCCGTGGAAGTGAACATGGTTTAAAGTAGGACAATCCCTGAGATGATGAAGCTCATTACCATGAACCTGTGGACATTCACCCAGGATTTCTTATGGCAGAGAATTTCCCTGTGGCCCCAAAGAACGCTGGCTTTGGGTCAGAAGCTATGTGCTGTGTTATGGTGAATTTCTCATTGAAAATTGTCCACTTGTTTTCGAGGATTTTGGTAAAGATTACTGAAAACTTTCGTTCCCACACCTCCCATTTTGGCGTTTGCTTTTCTCTCGCGTCGGTTGCCTAAAAATACCCAGCACCTTGCAGGATGGTAGACTAATCCTGGCAAGGATTTCAGGGTGGATGTAACTAATGGATCAGGAGTCAGAGTGCCTTGATTGGGGCAGAGGGTGGCAACTAACAAGGACGGAGCCTGTGATTATATCCTATGGTCAGAGAAGCAGAAAGGCTTCCCATCAGCCGTGTCCCTGGGCACGGAAGCCGACAGCGGGACAGACAGCCGCTGTAACTGGCACCGAGGCTGCAGGACGAAAGCCTTCGTTTTCTAAGGCCCCCAGACACCCTCCAACTGGCCCACTGGCTCTGCCATTGAAACACGGTGTGGGTCATGTTTCCTCTGGAAACCAGGCTACGACTTGTTGCGGGGCAGCTGTTAAGTGTCATGCAACCTGGCAATGGACCTGGAGTGCGAAGGAGGTTGACAGGAATGAATGACTCGAAGATGGTGGCAGAAGTATCTTGGATGCGACAGTTCTGTCTGTTGGCTTGCCTACCACCATTTCCCAACGCGCTCTCCCTGCAGTGGGTGCAGGGCGCACTGCGCATTAAAGGAGGAGGAGGGAAATGCCGAGAACAGGCCTGCTTCTTCTCTTCTGAAAGATCCAGACTCTAGAATTATTAGCTCCATCCAAGGCTGCTTATCTCTTTTCAGCTGTCGCTGTGCAAAATGTAGGTGTTTCCCCGCCTCAAACTCTGCTGCTTCCCCCCTCTCCACAGGAACAGCTGGTTTCTGCCCGTCTTCATGTTCTTCGTTCAAATAAAACAAAGTCAAGATTTGCTAAGCTGTCAGGACTCTTGCAGACCCTCTGACGCCCGTGCTCCCTCAGCAGATCAGTAGCCTCTCTTTGTCATTCGCTGGGCTGCCTGGGAAAGAAAGGGCAGC